AATCAACAAGTTCACAGAACCCAACAGAAGACCTTTGAGAGGCTGATGATTATAAGTGTAGAATATATATGGGTTCCAAGAAACTCTAGCCCTAAGCTGAATGGGCTCTAGGTTTCTCCGGACTCTTTTTACATACTATACTCAATTGGGCTTTAGCAAAAGAGCAAAATCCAACAATCGTGTCATGTCAAGTCAAGTTGGTCGTATTCGTGTCAAATGTTTTAACATGAATGCTTATTCGTGCCGTATTCAAATTCAGTATATTAGTGTTCATGTCAATTTTATTTTGACTCGACAAGAATTGTTATACCTGTTAATTGTTATACCTGTTAATTAGTATAGGTTATCAATTTAGAATATTGATTATTTTTTATAGATTTGACAGATTATTATTATTATTATTATTATTATTAATATATCTTCAACTTAGCCAAAATTCAAGTTCATTAGCCTATTTCAAAGTTTAAGCTTGTTGGTTTATTTAAAGGTAAATTTATTAACTTATTTAATGATGATAATGCAAAATAAGTATTTAAATGATCTTCACGTCAAGTCAAGAGAAAAGAAAAAGAAAGACAGAGACTTATGTCAGGTAATGATAAGAAGTTCAAATTTTATGATTAAAAGATAGAAAACTTTATTTATCTGTTTCTAAGCCTAATAGAGAAGGCAGGTTTCAGTTAAAGAATATATGCTAACGGGGAAGAAGGAACATTAGTCGTGACTTAAGGAGGTTATGAGATGTCTCAGAGTTTGTTGCATCTAAGAAAACATTATATAAGCATATGAACTATATTCCAATGTTTATAATTAGGATAGAGCTTTGTCAATTAGTCAAATGCGTCTGAATGTAGATTTTAGGTGAAAATTTACTTTAGTGTCATATCAAAAAACTTAATGTGATATAGCATAACCCATTTATTAATTTTTTTATACAATAATAAATTTTTATCCCATTTGATGCATTCATTACATGAATCAAATAATATCATTAGACTCTATAAAAATCAAACTTTCAGTTAATCTATTTAGAGTAAGGTTATTCTTAATGATTTCTCCTAAGTTTTTATTTAGTCTTCAATATTCCTCTTGATTGGGTTATCTTTCGTTCGATTCACCTCAGATGAGTTTCTATAGGTAGTACTTATAACTTTTTCTCTTCTTCCCTCCCCCTAAACTTGTTATTTCTTGATATGTTAATCAATTCAGCGAAAACAAAGAGTTATTTTGGTAACTAAAAAAAGAAAGAGCATTTTAATGGTTGATCAATTCTCTCTTTTCTCTAAAATATTTTGTAACAAGTATAAGGTCAGTATCAATAATTTATCAGTTAATACTATAGCCTTGATTTGCCAGAAGACAAGTTTGGGCCTAATATTTAGAGTTAAATCCATGCACTTGCAAATGGATGATGTTCAAGACTAATTATAACAATTGAATATTACTAAGTGGAAATAGACATATGAAAATTAAGTACATAGCTTTGATATTGGACCACATTTATGACGCATGAAGGAGAAGCCAACGATCCATTATTGCCTTATGAAAAGTCATCAACACAATGAAACAATGGCGATAGTGTAAAGTTGATAATTTGATAAACATGGAGCCACGTTTAACGGGCATCCTTTTGTTGACATCAATTGAGATCTAATAAAGGCCATTGTTTCGACCAATAAATCCACAAATTCAGCAGTAGATTTGCCTTTGTAACATATATGAAGATCCTATTGATTCTAATTGGAAAATTAGGTTAATCTGCATTTCATTGGGTCGTAGAAGATGATGTGTACTCCATGACAAGAATCGATTATATTAGGGCTAGACATTCAAAGTAAAGCCAATATTTTCCGGGTTTTTTCTTGGATGATGTCTGAACCTACCCCACCACAACAAGTCTAATTCAATTCTCATTCTCACTTTTATATATATAAATGGTTTTAATTAATGGGTGGTCGACATTTCATTAATGCAACCTTAGTGGATTTCTTTAAATGTATTCAAAGTGATTGCCTTCTTACAATGTCAAAGATAGGTAAGTCGTTGAAAGTGGTGGTACGCTTACACTTGTAAAGGCAAATAGAACAAAATGAGAATATATTTGTTTTTAAATGGTCTGGGGTAGGATTATCTTATGGAGAGAGCTACTAATTATTGAATTAAAAGGGGGGTCCATCAAAATTGTGACTTCACCTTTGGAATGTTGTATCCAAGTTGCTAACACATTGAAATTAAATAATCAAGGATTAGGAACTCTGACACGTGAATCCATGTGAAGATGGGTCCTCCCGGTTGCTACTATGCCTCTAGGATACCTTGAGCGCTATAGTGAAACATCTTTTTAAAGGGGTTCATCAAATAATATGAACTAAATAAAGTTTTGGTTAGCTTTAATAAACTTTAGAAAATCTTGGCTTGGACAACGAAATTTTGAATGACACTACATACTTGTTTTCTAGCTAGAAGGAAAGCTAGTGCTAGCTAATCGAACTTTAATTTTGGATAAGTACTTAACGAGTTCTGTCTTGTGAAAACAGTTTTATTAACATATAATTAAGTCGCTGGAAAAAAATCGTCAAAGCCCATCAAATTGCTACCTAGACTAGGAGATGTGACTCGGTAAATTCAGCCGTACACAGGCAATATCTATAAATATACATAGTTAAATAATTATATTTGATTAAAATAAGAGATTTCCCTATCTTTAATCAATTCAAAAGGAAAGAATTTGTGCGTTTTCAGGATGAAAGAAAGGTGAAACTTGCTCCTTATTCTTCCTTTTCTCACAATTTATTTATTTAGATTTCTTCACATGTTCATTAATTATTTGACTATTTCCAATCAGTCGTGTAGATTTTAAGGGCGGCAAAACTCTCTCAATTAAGTTTTGAACGTAACTGCATATTAAAACTCGAACTCGAAACCATTAATTAAGCTAAAACAATCTCATACCAATTGATACACGTGCTTGGTGGTTCCTTTTTTCCCCTTACTAAAATTCATCCAATCATCATCCGCTAAAAAGAGATGCAACCCTCCATCTCTCCTTTAGAAAGCCATGGCATTTTAATGCTCTTAGCTAGAGAAAGGAAGAATCAATTGATTTTATTGTTTTTCCCCTTGATTTTTCTTAATTAGCTGTGAAGACTGCGAAATGAAGATTTAATTTCTCTGAATGCTAGAGTTCTGATGATTTGGATAACTATTGGGTTATGCTCCAATGAGTCTCACAGAGAATTTTTTTCATGAGGGAAGGGAGATTATCAAATTTGATTGTTAATTTTTTTATAAAATCATTACAAAACTAGAATATATCCTCGTATTAAAGTCTGGACATTTTTGGCTAAACCATTAGCCCGTACAAGAAATTCTCTGATCGGAAGATACATGCTTCTAATGAACTAATACGCACACTTCCAAATGTTAGAATAATTCCTTCTTTATCAAATGATGATAAACTCAATTAGCGTATTAGAGCTGAGCAGGTGGGGATGAGAATATCCTCTCTAGTATCATTTTTAGAAAATGTTTAAAGTCTTAATCCTGGACGCGTCCCGAACAATATATTACCTTCTTTCTTAATTCGTGAAGGATACCTGTAGTTTATCCAAAAAGATAAAATAAAAATCATTCTTTCTTTTCTCCACAGAAGGAATGAGATAAGGTTCGCACTAGCAATTTGAGCAAAGAACTTGACCTTATATATATGTTGCATAATATTAAACCCACACACACCATGCAAGCACCATTCATAGACCCAGAATGACGGATTTATTTAACCCCCATATATACATCACATTCCTTGGCCTTTGACCCTTTAGGTTTACACCTCCTCCCAGATCACTGGGTGGATTTTACGACGTTGCTCATATTCATACCCAAATGAAACCCCGGCAATTTTTTCTTATTTATTAATTTTTGTGTGTGGAAAATCCTGCACTTTTTCAAACCTTTAAGAATTTTTCTAAAATTTGCCTCTCCAAATACAGTTTTTGGAGAGGGATAAGTGTATTTTAAGCTTCCGGAAAATATATAATTCTTTTTTAAGGTTTTTATTTTTTTGAAGAAACTTATTTAATTACTATAAAAAAATGTAAACATATTTTTAATAAAAAAAACACGTACTCTTAAAACGAATAAACATCCTACACTATTTCATTTAATCACTTTTCGAATAAATCATTTTACAATCGATGAATCTTCCTACAATTTATGTTTTCCCATTTATCCTCTACTTTGTTAGGTTAATTACGAGAGTCTAATAATACCTATTTAATCTCTCTTTTTTTTCGTAGAGAAAACCTTAAGATCTATTTACTACAATAATTTCTTTTAAAATTAGAATATAGGCTTAAGAAACATGTTTGGTTGGATTTTACTTAAAATATTTTTTTTTTTAACAATAGTGACATAAAGAATTAAACCTATGACTTCTTGTAAACTTAGAGGGGCCGGGGTGTCATTATTGACACTCCCTTTTGTCTATCCACGCCCCTCTTTAATTATTTCTACATAGACGAGTTCTTAATGAATAGATGAAAAAGCTTCTGTAGCTTAAATGTTTATAAAGTGGGTACAGTTAAATATCAATCATAAATCAATAATTATGGGTTTAAGTGGTAAGGAACTCCTTTAACTAGAGGTATCAAATTCATGTTTTGAAAATGGAGAAAATGATGTTGAGAGAGTTACTCTCAATATAGATCCGAGACTATGCTAAAATCGAATTAAACTGGCTTTGATAATATATATATATATATATATATATATATATATATATATATATATAATTCAAATACTATACATGATCGGAAAGTTGTGCAACTTTACTTGGTACGGACAAAGCACACATATGTAAATATATGAATTGGAAGATAAAGATCATCGGTTTTAACCTCTATAGATATATAAATTCTGAATAAGCTATTGCTTTCTTTCTTTCTTTTTTGGCGAGAGCTATTGCTTTCTAGTTGTTCTGTTTTTTTTTGTTTTTGTTCACAATGACTAGACAGAAGAAGGATTGCCTTTTTCAAGTTCCGTGCTTCGAAGATAATGAAAGGTACGTAAAACTAGAGGACAGGGTGAATTCAACATTTCAACAATATGTATCTTAATTTTCCCGTGTCACCTTATAATTATTATTATTTTGTACTTTGTTTATGGATTTACTAATTACATTTTCCCGTGGTATTAGATATAGTTCTTTTGTTCCATTTTATAATTTAATAATCCAACACCTTCATGTGCTGGATACAATATCAATTAATTTTGATACGTGTTAATAAAAAGTTTCATGTATACTTGGAGATGTTTCCCAAAAGCATATTAGATAATTAAACTTGAACCATAGATGGATAAAATCAATGTTATTAAAACTGGCCCGGTCATTGACCCGGTCGAGGTACTGGGTCACTGGTTCAACCAGTGAGTCATTGGTTCAATCGTATGATCCGGTAATTATATATAATTTTATAATTTATATTAAAAAATTATAAACATCCTCAAATATCTAAAAAAATGATTAAAATTTCAAATATTTTAATATAAAAAATAATAAATCACATATATTATCCAATAAAAGATCAAACAAAAATATAATGATCGTGATACGGGGCTTTAGGTTCAGAAAATGACATCCCTAACTATAAATCAAATCAAATTTTTTTGCATAGTGCATAATTGAGATAATATTAGTATTGTAAATACATAACTTATGTAAGTTGATAAGCAAAAAAATATTCAATTATGTCCATTATGATTTTTTTTTTTTTGAAAAAAAAATTGAAATTTTTTTTTGTGAACGGGTCGGGTCACCGGTTTTCATGAAAACAGGTCGGGTCGGACCGGGTCACACCAGTTCTGATGCATGGCCGGTCTGTTGCTTCAATCGGATCGGTTATATGACCGGTTTACCGGTTCCCAGGTCGACCCAGCCGGGTCGGTCCGAGTTTAATAACAATGGATAAAATGAATTCAATAAACCATTTGTGCGCTTATTGGGAATCACAATTTTTTTTAACAGAGAATCACAATTATTGAGAATATGATAGGAAAATGAGTTTTCTGAGAAAGTTAAAAAAAATTGTTTGCTAGATCGAAATATTACTGACAAAATTGGTTTAAGTTTCCTAAATCTATGTTTGGTCGAAGGTAAAATATTATTGAAAAAATTGGTTGAAATTACGAAAGTAACCCTTGAGGGGTGTTTTTGTCTATATTTTCGCACCCAAATTGAGGGATATTTTTGTCCACAATTTTACACCCAAATTTCCTAAAAAGTTTCATGTATATGTTTCCCAAAAGCATATTAGATAATTAAACTTGAACCATAGATGGATAAAATGAATTCAATAAACCATTTGTGCGCTTAGAGTAAATAACATAATATAACATTGAAAAGGGGAAATCATAATAAGTGTATGTTTCGAATTAATTAAGTGTATATAAAATGTATTTTATACTAACAAAATTATAAAAATTATTTTGAAAAAAATAAACTATACAAATACACTAATTGACAAATATATTTAAGAAAAATGTTGTACTTACAGAAATAAAATAAAAAAACTATTTCTCAAGGGATATGACAATTATTATATGATATGTACGTCATATACGCACTCACTTTTTTCACATAAATTCGGTAGTAGAAGTTTGTTATACAAATGTGGACTTAGCTTACATTTTAGGGTGAGTGATTTGTTTCTTAAAAATAATAATTAAAATTAATTTTAATTAATTAAGTAAAAGATAATGAATCACGAGATTTCTTATTTAGGGTTTGATTTTCCCTAATTACCAAATGGTGGTAGTTCAGTTGGCGTATGGGAGCTGAGCAGGTGGGGGTGAGGGCATGTGTTCGAATCTCCCCAGTACCACCTTTGGGAGGGGTTTAAAGCCTTAATCCTGGACCCGCCCCGAATCGGACTAATCGCGAAGCGATGAACCGATGGAATTTTTCCAAAAAAAATAAAATAAAAAAAATTCCCTAATTAATTACCCTAATAATCTAATTCGATTATTAACGTCCGAATTCATCCTAAAAGAATTAAGATTTAATTTATTAATACCTTAACCTTCTACGTCCAATTAAGAAATTTAATCCCTTAATGCAGTAGTCTACTTCTAGTTCATTATCATATATGATAAATGTGCATGTATTCAAATCCGATCCATATACCAACCTCCCAAATTCTTATAGATACCCAAAATCAACTCACATGGAAGTATAAAAAACAAAAACAATTACATGATATAGAAGAAAAATGATTTTTTGAATTAAATAAATCTGAATCAACGTCAAGTTATATTTGAGATCCATATGCTCCTAACACGAGTGTTTAACTCATGTCAAACCAAAAATCAACAAATAGATTGAAAAGAAATTTCATAATTAATCGATAAAAATTAAAGTTGAAGATCTTCTTATATAGGTCACGAGAAAATCATTGTCTTTTTAATCATTGTAACTAATATATTGTCCGTAGGAGTGAAATTGGGCCGGTCCGGTCTACAGAGGCCTTCGGCTTGGCCTATGTCAGGCCAGACCTGACCTAGTATATTTTGTAAAATAGGTCAGACTTGGGCTATGAAAAAGTTTGTTTAATAAAAAGGCTGTAGGCTCATTTCCACAAGACCTGACCTATAAGCCTACAGGCCGACCTATATTGTACTATTTATTTTAAATAAAATAAAATAGAATAAGTATGACTTTAAAAAACAAAAGATATAAATTTAATCAATTGCAATTATTTATACCTTAATTATATTTGATTATATTTTAATAGAAATCTGACTTTATTTCTTATGTAAGAGGAACCAACATCTCAGCATGTTAGATTGTGTGTATGAATATATTAAAAAAAAATTGGGAGATGTTATACTTACTACAAGTATCATGATGTGTTTGTTGGATTCATGTAGTTATTTTAATTTACATAGTATGGATTTGTTTGTTGGATCTGATGAAATATATGTTATTTAGTTTGAGCATTTTGCTTTTGAAATTGACTTAAATGCAGATTGTATGAGTTTGATGTGATTCGTTATTCTGCTTGGGCGTTGAAATTATGATTTTTGGTTTAGCAATAGAATTTGAGTATTTTATAAAATTGATTCATGATTCTGCTTGGAAGTTAAAAATTAGCAGGTTAACAGACTAGACTAGGCCATTTGTTTTTTTTATAAACGGGTCAAGCCAGCTAACAGTTAGACTCATACTAGACTTGGGCCAGGCCAAATTAAAATTTTTTTACGTAAGCTTGGGCTTTTCAGAACAGCTCACTTTCACCCCTAATTGTCTGTCTCACCCTTAATTGTCCATCTCCCCTTGGTGCTGGTGGCTTCGTTTATTTATACCAATTTTAAGGGGCCAAAAAAATAAAAACAAGTTTTTTTCTTAATAAAGTTTCTTACTTTTCTATTTGTATTTAATCTATTTCAATGCCTAATGATTTGGTCTTTCTGAAAGTCTACCAATAAGAAACTTCAAGCTGTTGATATTTTTATTACATCTTTTCAAATTTCTGTAATCATCAATATATTTAATAGTTAACTTCTCTTAACTAAATAATATTCAGTGCCTAGTTGGATCCTCTCTTGTAAGCATAAGTTAGACCAAATAGATTTTGAAAAAAACTCTTAAAATGAAAAACTCTTTTTTTTTTAACGAAGAAAAATGTTAAAAGCTCTTAGAAAGAACCTTTTTTTAAACTATTATTTGCTTTTTATGAATTGTATGCTTTTTTTTTAAATGAAAATCTATAGAGATAGATAGAGAGATAGTTTTCTTGAAATATGTGCCTTTAAGCTAAAAAAATTATATAATTTTTTTAATACACAATTTTTATGTAATTACCAAACAACTTTTATTATTATTATTTTTAGCTTTAGCTTATAAGTAGCTTCTAACTTAAAAAAAGAGGATCCATACAGGTTCTCAACATTATAAAATAAGATTATTTAATTTATATTATTATGTAATATATATAACTTAGTTTTGTTATAAAATTATATATTATTAAGCAATTATCATGTAACTTATGTGGTAATGGTTGGCATTAAACTCCTCCTAATATTAATCTAGTATATTTTTAAAAAAATAATTTTCAACTCCAAGAGTAGCTAAGGGCCTGTTTGGTGTGACGTATAAGGCATGATAGTATAAGTTTATACTATACGTTATGACATTTTCAGTTGTTTGTGTGATCATCGTATAGTATAAGCTTATACAGCAGAACCCCTTAATACATCAAAATGATGTATAACTTAATTTGGTCTGAGAGGGAGGGATTAGACCTGATAAGGGGTTAGCGTATTAAAATCGTTGACCAGTGCAATTCTCAAAAATTAATATATTATTTTAATATTAATACATTAAAATAAAAATTAATTTTTCAATATATTAAATTTTAAAATATTGAATATTTTTATTTTTATAAAAATTTATTTATTTTTTGGATACACTGATCAATAGATTTTTATAAAAATTAATATGATATGACATTTTTTGAAGAATTATATAAATTATTTATTAAAAATATTTTTATTAAAAATTATTTATTTTTATCCTATATAGTATTATACAGTGCATTACTAAATACACTACTAGAAAAATCATAAACAGTGACGGAAATTTGCGATGGGAAATATTCCATCGCAATTGGTGACGGGGATTGAGATGGTAAATTATCTGTCACAAATTGTAACGGAATTTGCAACGGAAATCATATTGCGACGGAAATAGAGCTGAATTATCGTCGCGAAAGAGTAGTTGCAAATATCGTCGCATGTTCGTCACAAAAACCATCCCAAATAGGGATGGTCAATTATTCCGTCACAATTATGAATAGATTGCGACGGCTTATTGTGACGGGTTTTGCGATGGCCTTCCGATATGCATTCACGCGAAATTTTACTTCATAACTGAAAGTCATCACAAAAGCCCTCGCAAAACTGCGACAGGTTTTGAGATTGAATCCTTTTCCATCACAAACTGCGACGGTTTTTGCAATGGCTTTCGACCATGCAGTCAAATTTCGCATTTTTCAACATTAAAAAATGGTTTCATTTTTTGCGATGAAATCATTTTCCATCGCAAACTGCGACGGGTTTTGTGATGACTTTCTGGTATACAGTAAAATTTTGCTTTTTTCAATATTAAAAGAAGGGGAAAACATCTATCATTTTAAAAGATATAACTTTATATCATTTTAGATACTAACCGTTGATTTCCGTCATCAACGAGTATAATCTAGTGGGTCAAATTTAATGAGCCAAATTTATTATTAATTAATAATTTTGATCCAATAAATTATAACTATTGTTGGACGGAAATCAATGGTGAGGATCTAAAATGATATAAGGTTATATCCTTTAAAATGACAGATGTTATTCCCTTAAAAAAATTAAAAATGGCTCTTCTTTTGTGATGGAATATTTTTCCATCGCAAACTGCGACGGGTTTTGCGATGGCTTTCGAGTATGCAGTAAAATTTTGCGTTTTTCCAACTTTAAAAATGGCTCCATTTTTTGCGATGGAATACTTTTCCATCGCAAACTGCTACGGGTTTTGCGATGTTTTTTAGTTATGCAGTAAAACTTTTTGTTTTTCAACATTAAAAAAATTTAAAAATGGCTCCATTTTTTCGATGGAATCCTTTTCCATCGCAAATTGCGACGGGTTTTGTGATGGTTTTCAAGTATGCAGTAAAATTTGAGAATATTTAATGACCCTAAATCTACAATGACCCTCACAAGTAATTTTTTATTATAGATATTTAATTTGAGGATTTAGATGCCAAACATGTGTTTAGAATGTGATTTTGTTTAGTCTGACACTTTTTGCAAAAATCTCGTAAATAGTGTTTTCTGTCGGGTATTTTGTATTACTGTTTAAGCAACCGGTAGAGTCCATAAAAAAAAAATTAAGTGATAAGTACATGAGAGTCCAATGTATGCGAAACAAGTCATGTTTAGACCAAAAGTAATAAGTTTATAAGTTTTACGGATTTGCATGCGAACAGTGCACAATTAGTGATTCACAGTGTACTTCAAAAAAAATGTGCAGAAACCCAACTGTGAATTGCTAAAACTGTTCCTTATAGAATAAAAGTAAATGTAAATGAGTTCAGAAAAATAAAATTAGATTTGATTTGATGAATAACAGTCATTCTCGGTGTGGGAACGACATTCGATAAGTGGTTCCCATGGTGGGAACGATGCTCTTATGGTGGGAACGACATTCCTGAGTTGGGAACACCATAAAGTTACTTTTGGGAGAAATGAGTAACTAGTCATTTATTGAGTTGTTGACTTTTGTTAACTAAGCTTAAGTGAACAAAGCATGAACAGTAGATCACTAAAAACATAAAACACCATCAGCCATCTTCTTTCTCATTTCGTTGAAGCCATGGGAGGAAGAGTGAAAAGCTTGAGAAAATCATAACTTGAGTTGCAATTGGCGAAATCGAGTCATTATTGTTATATTTATTACATACTTTTGTAAAAATTTAAATCAAGCTTTCAATCAGTGACACACCCGATTAGACCTCTGAGCCACTCATCCAATGCCCTAATCGATACATGATGGTTCTGGTACTCAATACATTGGTTCAACCAAAATGGAATATATAATTGAGTAAAGGTTCCCCCGAAATATCCTTGCTAAAATTTGGACACAATGAACTGAAATGATCTAATGATGGGTTGGGGCAATTGAATGATGAAAAGTTAATTGATAAAGCTAAATTTAAATCTAATTTTTATTTAAATATAACATATTCGGATTTATATAATTAGTTTATGTTCCATGTTTTTTATTTTTTCTCAATTAATAATAATTTGTATTTCATATAAAAATATAAAATAGGAAGAATTTCATTTAATTAATATCCTCTCTTATTTATATATATAAAAAAAATTAAGAAAAAAAGATACTTTGTTAATTTTCTAAAATGGCAAATAAAATAAAAGAGCTCTAAAACCACAAATAAAAAACGGAAGCAATGATTTCAAATGAAAATAAATACAAATTTATATTTTGATAAAAAAAATTAAAGTAAATACAAATTTAACATTTTATTATTTATTATTTATTATTTTTAATGAGTAAATCACAAAAGATAAAACTCAAACCATTATCTCTGAATAGTTTTCCAATCTTTGCAGTTATTTTTTTCCCTTTATTTCACATATTTTCTCCCTATTTTTTTGTATTTTTACTCTTTCTTAACTATTTTTTATTTTTATTTTTTATGCATACAGGCAGGCTTGTAACTTTGATCCACTTGACCTTGTTAAAATTGGAGTCCGTGAGCTCATAGGCCACCGTATTAGTGCAACTTTTGGTTTACCTGCTCCCTGTTCCCTCCATGTTTTTCACTTTCCCTTTTCCCACCACTTACCTTTTCACAAAACCCTTTCATCAGCCTTTTTCGTCGATTTTTTCTACTGGCACCTAACCTTTAGCGAGAGGCCTCCTCTAAGGGTCGCGAGAACTTCGTCTACATTGCCAAAATCGCCAAGCAGGCGGAGCGATACAAAGGTTAGGGCTTCTTCCTTTGTGTCTCAGACTCACACTTACTCATGGATATGCTCTATGCTTGATTTTTTATGATACCTGCTTATGCGATGGCTTCTTTCAACTTATTTTGAGTAGATTTTCGTGCTTTACTTCGATTTTATATCATTTTTGGTGTAAAAATTAAATTTTTGTTGTCAAATTTGGTTTACTATTTACAAATTCATATTTTAATTTCATTCCATATTTTACCAGTTTGCTTCGAAACTGGGTTCAAGTTCTCTAAGTTCTTATTCTTTACAACAGTTGCATTTTTTTATCCCTGTCTGTATGTTTGAAAGTACACATAAAACTAGACACACCAAAATCCCTCTTGCAAAGTGAGATCTGAATTCTGCATCATTACCCTAAAATACTAATCATCTATTTACATATATTTTGAGATAGAAAAGGCGGAACCAGAATCACGTGCTGCAAATTAAGATGGGCTTTGCATAAATTGGACACGCATTTAGAAATTTCATGAGTAACTGCTAGGGACAAGACTCAAAGTGTTAGGGGAAGAGTTTGGAAAGTTTATACTAGAAAGAATAAGATGAGTCTTCAGATTAGTTAGGAAAGTTGGAAAGATAGTTAGTTTGGATGGCAATCTTTTTTGCCATCCTTTGGGATGGGTCCTTGGGCTGGAAAAATCCTTCAAGGTACATCAGATGAAGCTGTTGGAGAAGGTGAAGGAAGAACCAAATTCAAAACCTGAACCAGATACGTAGATAGAATCAAAGGTGTTGGGGCATTAGAATTTGAACTTGCTAGCTGAGCCTCTCGCTGAACTTGGATGGGTGTACTGAGAGCATGATGGTGGAATTTTTTTATTGGTGAAGCCTTGTGTTTATTTTTGGAGATATTGCACACTCATCGTTGGGTAGGTGGCTAATCCAAGAGCTCGTGAGATCAAGAATCTCTCTGTTGGGTCTAAATCTTTCTCTGTAAAGATTGGTCAGTGTGGATATGAAGCCATCATCTACATGGGTCACCAAGCGTGGATATGCATAGAACTCTTTATCTGGGTATATGTTAAGTTTGGTTCTACCTTCTTGGGTGAGAACAAGGCGTTTAATTTTTCCCGCAGAGGATTGTTGATTGGTTTGGTAGTTTTCATTTGAAGTGTTAACAATTTTGATTGAAGTTTTGGTAAGGGGTGCAGAGATGAATTGGAGATTGGTTTGCATAGTTAGGAGTTAGGAGTTGCTGTTTGTGGTGAAAAGTGGACATGAATTTTGAGTCAATCAAAACCAAACTCTAATTTTGTTTATAATTAATATCACATATATTCTTGTGGATAACCAATCAATGGTTGTGAAAGCATATAGAACTTTTTCAACGTTTTTTTTTTGGGCCCAAAAAGAAATTAAATTTGTAATAGTATTATTGCTCCCTACCAAACACTATTGTGGCCCATGTCTTCGTTGAATCCTACTTTTTCTTGGTTTGATATGCATATATTGAAGCTGTCATCATCTCAGAAAACCTAAACAAATAAATGAGAATTAATGAAATGTTGGGTACTTAATTATTTCACATTGACTAGTGAACAAAAAAAGCATACATGGCACCATATACGCATACCATGCTGATTTGTGGGAGCATTGCTCCTATTCATGTTAAGAGAGGATATATATTTAAGTTAGGCAGTGTTTTCCATCAATGGGTAGACTATATATATATATATATATATATATATATATATATATATATATATATTGTGTAAGTTGAATTTTCAGTAAATATAAGTCAATGGGAGAAGTTAAGAACCAATTAGTGTGCCCACTTGGTTTCTGAGTGGTCCATTAGTAGACAATTGTAGAATCTTTCTTCATAACATTATAAGTATTGTAAGTATAAAAGAAGAATTGTAAGTATGCATTACTTTTTATGGTATTCTATAATTTGCACTTGTAATTAATTAATGATGCCAATTTTTATTTGTAGCTAGCTTCTGGGGAGGTGCCCCCAGATCGGGTTGAGTTTGCTACATTTCAAAGGACCCACACACAAGAGTCTGAAGCAGGGACTCGACGGTGGATTAACAACACATCCAGACAAATAGCGGTGAATTATTAGTTACTTCGTTTTTGTTTGATTTATTAGAGTTTAATTCACTTCATGTTTATTAATATTTTGTTTTTTTTTTTGGCTTGTAGGAAGGATTCCAAAAGCTCCAGGAGGAGACACGAACACAGGTGACAGACGATGGAACCGCCTCCTCTCAGGTCGATAGCAATGAACTCTTTATTAAGGCGACTGAGCCATTTAATAAAAATGGAAGAATTTTTGGACAGGGAGCATCTGCTAGCAGCTTCAAGAGTACCAAGCGCCCCTCTAAACAACTTCCAAGTGTTTCCGAAGGTAAAGACATTTATAGTTAATTGTTTCAAAATTTCACTCCCTAGTCCATTTAATTTAAGTACAAAACAATTGACCTAAGCATATGTTCTTATTATTGCAGATGAGCTTGCCAGAATGCGAGCAGTGACTGCTAAATTGGAGGCAGAATTGCAGCAGCAAAAGGAGTAAAGGGAAAAAATGGATGCCGAATTGCAACAGCAAAAGGAGAAACAGAAAAAATGGATAATCTGTTGCAGAAATTACTGAACAAAATGGAGAAGAAGAAAGAAAAGAAAAAGCAGAAAAAGATGATGAAGAAGAAGCAGACTGTAGACTCCTCATCCTCATCCTCATCCCCATCCTCATTCTCATCCCCATCCCACACCCATACTTCATGATGTATTTGAAACTTTTGTTTATGACTACCTTTATTGATACATTTTTCTAATTGTATGAGATTATAATGTTAGTTTGTATGGAATTATAGTGTTGGTGTGTATGGGATTATAATTGTAGGTTGTATGAGATTGTAATTTGTTAGTTTGTATGGATTATAATTAGTTAGTTATTTCATTTCAATGAGACAAAATATTTTTGTTTTGGTTGTACTGTTTACAGGTTTGAAAATTTATTAATTTAATTTTTTTTTTAATTTTTATAATTTTGTGACGGAAATTTATGGATATTCCATCGCAAATCTGCTGATTATTGTGACGGTATTCACATTCCATAGCAAAGTTTGCGAGGTATTTTTCATTATTCCATCGCAAATTTGGGACGATTTTTGTATTAGACTATGGACTGAATTTTTTACGACGGCATTACATCCAGATTTGGGATGGGATTTTTAAAAATTCCATTGCAAATTTGTGACGGTGTTGTACTATATTTCCATCGCAAACTTTGCGATGGGTTCTTTCCCATTTACTTTGTGACGGATAATTTGCGATGGAAATTCCGTTGCATTGTGTGACGGTGTTGTCAGTATTCATGTCTGCATTTTGCGATGGAAAATAAGTATTTTGGGACGGGTTTATTCGGTCGCAATTTGTGACGAAATCCATAACAAGAAAATTGTGTCGCAAAATTTGTTTGCGAGGAGGTTTTTCACGACGGCTTTTTTCAGTCGCAAATTCCGTCACAAAAGGTGTTTGTGACCGAAATTGCCAGTTTTGTGACGGAAAATGCCCATTGCAAAAAGGCAATTTTCTAGAAGTGATACTAGATGACATTATCTTATATAATATATTATTTTATACAATACCATGCCAAACGCTGGATAGTATTAAAATTTAATCAGGTCTTATACAATCAGGCCTTATACTATCAAATCTTATACTATACTATGCACCAAACATGCCCTCAGTTGATAACTGAGCTCCCAAGGGTTTGTTTAAGTTAGGAGTTCAAACCCTACCTCAAAACAAAAGTTAGGGGTTCAAACCCTACCTCAAACAAATTCTTGAAAATTGTTTGGGGGTGGACGTGCCTCTCTCTCCCTGGATAAGGATACCTCCGGGTTATAGTAAAAAAAAAATTTAATTTTCCTAGACAAACGTTCGAATCCAAGCAATAAAAGGAAATTAAAAAGTAATTACTTAACTACTTGGCCAACCTCTTAAATTGGCATTTATTACTCAGGCAAAAGATAAACTGATATCAATATAAGTATAAAAAAATATATTATATTCATCATTCCCCGTTAATTTCATAAAGTACAAGTGTAATCGATCGCTAATAATATATATAAGAAATTTTAAACTTACGAGAATCTCCTATTAATTGCTTTTGCTTTATGTTCTGTAGTAATAAATTATTTGTTTCTATTCTTTGGATGAAATTAATATTGTGTCATGAAACTTAGGTGGCTAGAGGTATAAATATTAATTATTAATTAGATTATTATATATGTGGCTGTGATTAAAAAAACAATCATGTGACTTCGAGGAAGATAGAAGAGAGAAATTAGAGGCGTCACGGTAAAGAGAGAGAAAGTGACACACATATGAGCATCGGGAAAAAGAAAGAGAAGAGATACAAAATAAATTAATAATAGGTTGAAGGGGGGAAAAGTGAAAACAATAGAGGAAGGAGAATAATGAGTTGAATACAATGATAATAATAGATCATGAAATGAGAAAAAAATAATTAAAATGGGATAGATTCATTAATTGTAGGGCCGAAAAAAACTAATTAATAAAGGGTTCGTTTTTTCTGCAGTCACTGCAGATAAATTATCTGCAGTAAATCTAATACGATGTCGTTTTGGGACGAAAATCATGATATTTTTATAATTTTAATTTATTTCAGAATTATAATGGTCTTTATATTTATAATTTTTTAAGATGTAGAATAAATACAGATAACTTATCTGCAGTAACTGCAGAAATATTTTTCTCATTAATAAATGGATTTCATTAAACTTAATCAAATAATTTTTTTTAAATATTCTTAAATGTCTTTATTTTTAAAATAAAAATAGGATACGTTAATAAGTCAACATAAAAATTTAAATTACACTGATCTCCTTGTTCAATTGACACAAGGTAAAATTTTCAGATTTACGTGTTATTTTAATGTGAAAAGTTTGACTTTCCGTTGTGTTAACTTTTTATCTTTTTCTATTGAAGTATTTTATACCTCTTATTTAATAAAACAAATTAAATTTATCCCCTCCTCCTTCATGAGTTTTGCTTAAAATTAGAAGTTTAATCTTGTCCTCTTTCTCCGCTTTTTCAGCGTGGAAACCCCACGCCATCTTCCTGCCTATCATATTGTAATTAAAGGTCAGAAGATGTAAAGTCTGATATTGAACACAAATCTTTTGTTTTCTAAGGAGTGGGTTACATTTATGCTTCACGTTAATTATAAAAATATATATGGTTTCTTTTATATAGACATGAACTAGCTAGCTACCCGTTCACCCCATTGGATTCAACTTAATTTAAGGCTAAGAGATTCACTGTCATTAAAAAAAAAATTGTTTAATGATCCTATATATGTTGCTTTAAGACGGAACAGTTTAGCCCTAGGAAGCACCGACACTTCAAAAACTCTAACGTGTCGTGTTCGACACTTTCTGACACTCTGACACTTCCCGACACTCCAACACGCGTTATTTAAATTCAAAAAAAGTTCAAAGATTGTGTTGCGTTGAGTTATTAGTTCCAACTATTAGATTCGTTGGATTACAATTACCATTTAATATAAATATTTAGGATATCTTATGTTTCTTTGTAAAATTGATCAATATTTTAAGTTTAATTTCATTTTTTTGTTAAATTATTGAATATTAAATATAATATACACTACATAAATTAAAAATATTATTTGATATCAAAACGTGTCATAACGTGTCGAAATCTAATATTTTTTAGAATTTACGTATCGGAGTTTCGTGTCGTATCGTGTCACGTGTCCCGTGTCGATATCGGTGTTACATAGCTGAAGCCAATATGGCTAACAAAAACAAGGGTCAATATAGAATACGTTTGTATGTATGTCACCCCAAAATATAATTAATCATCCCATGTTTCTTCCGGATTTTCTTACTTAAGGGATGTTTGGTAGGAAAATTTTATTTTGTTGCCTAGGAAAGTGGGGATAGGATTCATAGGAGACCATGTTTGGTAGGGGTTTGGAAAAAATTTGCTTAGAAAACATATTTGCATGAGAATGTGATTTGTGTGTAAAATTGAAGGCAAAATATCACCTGAGAATATCACCCAGATTTGTAGAGAGTGGTATTCTGATTTTGCCGGCAAACCAAAAATTTGGGTGCGAAATCTTGGACAAAATTATCCCTCAATTTGGGTGCGAAAATATGGACAAAAATATTCCTCAAGGGTTACTTTTGAAATTTCAACCAATTTTTCCATATTTTAATATGAGCTATCAAAATAATTAGAGCCATATTTTAATTTTGAAATAAGAGACTTTGCACTAGGTATATTGTCATGTGGATCAGGGAGCTCATGGCTGAAGACTACTACCAGTGAACTAAGGCTTAACCCAAAAAATACTTAACCCACCTCTAGCCAAACATTCAGCTAGCTCGAGCCCAACCCGGCTCTAATACCAGAGTTAGGTGGATCCAGGGGAAACCCATGATTAGGGATTATAATCAATGAACTAAGGCTACACCACCATATCAAGTAGATCTGACACCACATCGTAACTCAAAATCTTAAGGCATTGGGTTCATGAATTTTTCTACTTGTATAAATTTCTCTTAATTCATTATTAACCAATACGATACTCGTTACACTTTAATATCTCAACACATATAAAGCCAACGGCTTATCTGTCTGTATTTTTTGAAAGAAGAAACAATGTTTTCAATAAAGTTATATACTAATATATTTATTGGAGAAAGTTACTCTTTCTGCAGCAATCTTAAACCATATACAGGCGTGGACAAAAAATACCCCATTATGCCAAAATAAACTTTATATGAGTGTCTTCGTGGGACTCATATTCACGTCTATAAACATAACACGTGGATGTGGGATAACAGAAGTGTCTGGACTCTGGGATCAAATCAATATACATTGAAGAAAGCCATACCCAAGCAGGGACAACTTCTACTAGGAACAAACAGCAAATTATTGATGATACCCCACGGCAAAGCTTATTAGCACTTTTAATTGTGCATTACTGAGGTGTACAAGCGACAAAGGGAATGTTTCAGAATTTTCAAAACGAAAAGAATATTAATCTTAACTTTTTTGAAAATTCATATTGATGAATGTTGAGCTCTTTGTTTTTTCCCCAACTTAAATACATTTTCTGCTTAATTACATGTATTTGTCCAAGTTGATGAGGTTTCTAATTCATTCAAGCAAAAAAAAAAAAAAAAAAAACATGATGAAAACTCAAGTGAAATATCACTATTCAGGTCCTCATTATAATCTATATTAGAAATCAATCTTGACGCTTCTGCATCTAATACAAATTATCCTTACATTGGTATCTTGTGCCGAATGCAAATGATGATAATTTCATCGATCTATATACGAAAGCATGAATCCTAGCTTAAATTCATTTAATAAAGGGTTAGGATATAAAGTTCATACGAATTTCTTCACTAAATACAAACAAATTGCGGAGATCTACAAGAAGAAACTCGTTTACCCCAGATTTCAGTTCAGAGAGAAGAATGCAGCATTTGGGATTAAAAAATAATTACTGAGGAGATTTGCCCTATTCACTGTGCATTTACAGAAGCATAATTCCAGATGCAGAAGTTTGTGTTCACAAACCCTAACAGTGATTTCATTTTCTTCCTAGCTAGATCGAAAAAAGGGTAAGGGTGAAAGAAGAAGCTAACCGTCAAGCACTATCATTCCAATAGTTATTGAATGTGCAAGCTTGGAAACACAGAACTTCCATCACATAAGATGATTCTCCCCTCAAAGCACCAACTTCATCATATCTTGCAAGTCTAATCATTTGATCCCATCATATATTTAAACTAATTAAAGCCATGAAGTGCATCTATTAAAATATAACATAAAATAATAGGGAAACCAAATAAAAATGCAACCAAGAGATTTATAAAAGGAGAGGGGGTGGAAAAAAAAAGACCAGTCAGTGGAAAAAACTATTAAATTATCCATAAATATAATAAAAGATCATATTTTTTTATTCAAAACACAGAAGCAGCTAGAAGAGAAAAGAAAGTTCATAATCCATATACATGATAAAATAAGCATGCTTAGCTAGCTTCCTCTCTCACAGTTCTTCACAACTATATAATTTGTACTCTTTTAACTCTTCCAAATATTCCTATCCTTCAAAATACAACACAAGATATGAGCAGATTTGACTTCAATTAGATCTCTACCTTTCACCCTCTCATCTTTCTGGGCACATCCAAATGATTACATTCAATAAGGTGGCCTTCCATGAGCCCAAGCAAAAGCTTCATGCCCCATCTGCCCTCCATTGGGCAACAGATTTGGAGGAAGATTATACAAAGGCAGAGATGATGGATCTGTAAGTCCACCCTGAAACTGACTCCCACTGCTTCCAATCCCCGGCTGCTGCGGAGGCGGCGATCCGCTGGCGGCTCCTCCTTGCGCCGCGGCAGCCGCGGCAGAGCTAGGCCCCTCATCATCATCATCAAGTGGAAGTCTCTCATAAGTTGCATTAGCAAAAGTTGCAGCAATAACCATAACAGGTCCAGCTGCAACTAGAGACCCAACAACACTTCCTCCAACAACTTGACCCTGTCCTCCAGCAAGATACACTGTAAGACCAGTAGAGCCAGGAGGGGCAGGACCTGGTAGGAATGCCCCAGTTAAGGATAGAATCTCGAACCTTCCATGAAGTGCCACAACAGCACCAGGAGCAGCAGGTTGTCGAAGGGTAACATTAGCCACAGAGCCACTTCCACTGAGGACACAAACACCACGCTGACGCCTCCTTGCAAATTGGGCAACACTTTCAGCAACATCAGCTCCTCCAGCTATCTCCATGACATGACTCCTCAAGGCATGTGGACTATCCCTTGTAACAAAGATGGGTGGTTTTGGCTTGTTTTTGGATCCAGGTGGTCTTCCTCTTGGTCTTCGGCTTCCAACCTCAATTGCACCCTCTTTTGGTTCATCTCCGTTATCTCTGTTTTCTTCATCTTCATCTTCATCTCTATTGTTGTTACCACTGCTTAATTCGTTGATTACTAGGTCTGTGTGGCGTTTGTTCAGGCCAGGTGAATGGGTTCCTGGGTCAACCCCAGTTAACCCACCCTGACCAGTCCACCAAGGGTTAGCCAGAGTTGTTGCTGCTGCAGAGATTAATTCAGGTTAAGGTAAAGAAAAATAAAAGTTCAAAAGAAAGAAGATGATGATGATGATTACATAGAAAGCAATTAAGCTCGATCAATTGCCTTTAATTAACAGAAAACACTAATTGACCTGTGAGCTACCTTCTTGCAAAGGCTATAGCAGATTGGTTTTTTGGTTTTGGTTTTGTCTTCTTAGTTTTGTTTCACTTGTTGTAGTCCTAACTCTAAGAAAGGGGTAAAAAGAAAAGAAAAGAAAAGAAAAAGTCAAACTCACCTAGCTCATAAGAAACAAAGGGTTAGCTCTCTCTATCTAAGACCAAACATTTGATGCTCATCATTTTCATGGATGAGAGGCCAGAGAGATAGAGAGAGAGAGGGTGCTTAGAAGAGAGAATTAGATTCAATTCCTCAAAGGGAATCAAGTACAAAAGGTTATGAAAGAGTTTGATCAGAATAGCTAGCGCTGTTTGAGAGGTGCAACGATGGATGCGAGATCAGACGATCAGCAAGTGTTCTCCTTTTCATTTGTTTATTTTTTTTTGTTAATTCTTTTGGCTATATAAGAAGAAGTGATCTCAGTGGACGCAAGATGGAACAGATGCGAAACCTTTCACAGAATCAAGCACAAAGAGTAAATACGAGGGTAGAAACAGGGAAAAGAGAGAGAGAGAGAGAGAGAAAGAAGAATTAACAAAACCAAAAAGGGAGACACTATGTACCAATAAGATATAGAAACAGAAGAACACAAAAACTCTTTGACAAGAACAAAGGAGAAGAAACGTTTTTGAATTGTTCTCTTTCTTGGTGTGAACTGTGTTGTGATTTGGGGAGCTAAAATATTTTCTCTCAAACTTTGCTATTTTTTATTTTTGTATTTTATCAATCTTAATTTGCTTATTGCTTCTGTTATTATAATAAGCACTGCTTTTGGAGGGTCTTGGAAATTAGGGTTTTGTGGGGTCGCGTGCTCGTAGCCAGGTGGGGTGCACGTCGTTTTCTCGGGCCCCGATATATACCAACGTTACCATTAGAGAGAGTAAGAGGCAGGTAACCAAAGAAGAAGAAGGAGAAGCAGCCATATTGGTGAGCCTTGTAACACCATTTCAGCACTATATCCATCCCAAACAATGTTACTGGTTCGTTGTTGTCCCTTTTTTGTTTTGGTTAGTTCTTTTTTTACTTCCATCTCCACTCTCATTCTCATTCTTCTATCTCATTAAAAAATAAAATATAAAAAATAATAAAATTCTTCCACATGCAGATAGATTTTGGTATCTTTTAATTTCGTTCTTGTGAGGCTATGTAAACCGTAACATTTGCTGCCTTTTTTTTTAGTGAAAAGTTCACTGTGGTTTTTTTCCAATCACATATGTCTCTGTGCTTTGTAAAATATAAAAAACCACAGGGACATATGTGATAAAAAACATATCCTTTTGCAAATCATAAGGGCATATGTGATAGAAAAAAACCACAGAGATATAAGTGATTCTGAAGCAAATCACAGGGGCATTGGTGAACTTTTTCCTTTTTTTTAATATACGCCTCTTTGCAAGGAAATGATGCAATTGTAATGTCTTTTGACCTTGGATTTTTTTGTGTATTTCTGTTTTGTTTTTCCTAGTAATTTTGGTTGGCTATTGCTCTCAGCAAGGATTTTTCTTAATTATATATATATATATATATATATATATATATATATTGGAGTTAACTCAATCCTAATTACGTGTTTGAGGCGAGTTGGCTCTCCGGTATCCCCATAAGCTTTAACTCATTGAGCCAGCTATGAGACTAATTCAGAATGAGGGCGGGTCAGGGATGAAGATATTTAAACCCCTCCCAGAGATGGCATGTAGAGATCGAACTGATGCCCTTTCCTTTTCACTTACTCAGTTTTTTTGCTACCAACTGAGCTACTACCATTTGGTTCTTAACTTGTATATTCATTGGCCTGAAAGAGGGGGTTAGTTAGTTAATTAGGGAATTTCTTCTAGAATATTATGAGGGGATAAAATAAAAAGGAGGGAAATGTGTGAAGTGAAGGATCGAGGTGCGAATTAAGTGAATATTTGAGAGAATTGAGGATCTCGTGGAACCTATGTGTGTTGGATCTAAGGGTGAGCTAGAGGTCTTTTGGTTTATTTTTCTGCATTTAGTGTTTGTAAGGAGCTTGTCTCTTTTATTTTACTTTAATATAATATTTCAGTTCCATTAATTTGGTATTAGAGCACTTTCGATCTTGGGGGTGCTTCTGGTCCAAACCCTTGAGAGAATGAAAGCCATGGGAGGAATAGCAATTCAGAGCCAAAGGAAATATTGATAAAAATGGTGAAAAACATGGATGAAGCATTAGATAAGATGAAGACGCGTATCATTAAAAAAATATAAGAAGAAAGAATGAAAATGCAGCAGCTGCAGCGGAAGGAAAAAAAGAAGAAGAAATCGAAACAGAGAAAGAAGAAAAGGCTAAAGCCAACGCAATAGAAGAGAAAGAAAAAGAAAAATAAAAAGAAGATAAAGCAAAACGTGAGAAAAAAGAAGAAGAAAAAAGCAGAACCAGGAAGCGGCTGCAAGAGAAGAGGAGGCGAAGCGGAAGAATGATGTTGTAAACGTGTTGTGGGAGGGGGCGTGAGGGGGGGACCCAAGCGACGACTACAGGGATATTATTGATGGCAGCAAATGGTGGAGAAAGTCGCGGCTCGCGTTTTAGGGAATCGACACATGAAAAATTCAAAGATGAAGATGAAGAAGACAAAGATGGGTCTCATGTTTTGTTTGATGCGGAGGAGCATCTGCCTCTCAAAATTTTGGAGCAGACAATGGTGGAAGCACAACATGATGAGGAGAGAAAGGTTGTTAACAGTAGGATCAAAGCCCCAAACCGGCGAGATAGAAATGAGTCTATTGTTGGGAAAGGGCATTATACATGTCTAGCACTTCCAAACAGGGTTGTTTATGGGATAAATACAGAAACCAAGCCCAATGTTTGTAACATTGAAGCACAAAAAGAGCCAATTGGTTTGGGTCCAACTCATCCAACGCGAACTGGTATCCAAACTAGTGAGGTTGGGTCTTTAGGAACCCAACGAAGCAATACTGCAATAATGAGCCAAGGAAGTGGACATGTGAGGCTGGCCAACAAAAAACCTAACGCTGCTGGAGTAAGGGGAGGATCGAGGCTTCGATATATGTTGCGGGAGGAGTTTAATGACAAGAGACATAGAAATTTATGCTTCAAGAGCAATGCTCATTTTTCACAAGACCAAATCTGCCAAAACTAGCCCCTCCACATCATCTTGGTGGGTACCGACGAACTTGAGCTTGAAGGGGAATAGTAGTTCTACGATGGTAAAGGCATGGAGGTTCATGGAAAGAAAATGGAATTAAAGCTGGCAACATGGTCGAGATGATTCGGGTTATAGGTCCCCAGTGGAAGTTCTCTCATAGTTCCTATCCTTTTTCTTCACCTTGAGAACAAGAGGTGAATTTTGGAGGGGGAGTATTGATGGACACGAAAGTGGGGTTAGTTAGTCAATTTGGGAATTTCTTCTAGAATATTCTTAGGGGATAGGATAAAAAGGAAGGAAATGTAAGAAGTGAAGGAAGTATAAATTAAGTGAATATTTGAGGAAATTAGGATCTCTTGGAACCTAGGTGCGTAGGGTAAGCTAGGGTCTTTTGGTTTATTTTTCTGCAATTAATATTTGTAAGGAGATTGTTTCCATTATTTTACTTTAATATAATCTTCTGGTTGTCATATATGATGCATGTATGATTTAAATTTGATTTAATTACAAAATAATTAATCAAGATATAAAGCAATGAAATTAACAATTTGATGGTTCACTTTGCTCTCCAGTAGTGGAAGAGCAGCTTGAGAGTCTCGCTTAGTGACTCGGATTCGAGCATGGTTACAAAAGAATTGAGAAGTTCACCTGGTTCATGTTTTTAGAGAAAGAAATAGTTGTGCAGATTGGCTTTCTAAATATCCTTTAGACTATCCTGTTGAGAATAATTTGTGTTTTTTCAAACCTCTCCCTGGTATTTGGCCTTTGTATTGGGCTGATTTGTCTTTGTCTTGTAATTTCAGAATGATTTTATTGAATTGATCTCTTTGCGGTGTTGTTGTTAACTCCCTTGGATTACCAAAAAAAAAAAAAGAATTTGATGGTCATCTCACCCCGAGGAGATCCTTATACGCCCAACATGAACCTTGCCATACCTTCAACTTGCCTATGCCTCAGCATATGCATTTACCTTAGCGTTCCTTCCCTCCGTATAGAATATGATATTGTTTTGCACAAGTAGCTGTCTTGATTTGGTTTAGAATCTTCCAAGATACATGTCTCCTTCTAGCATGAAAACTCGACCTAAGTATATTCTATTTCATTTAGGCACTCGGCAATATCTCAATATGTAAATCCAACTATATCTCTAGGACACCACACAAAAATATTAATGGGCAAAGCCAGTTTAATGACTCCGACTACTTTAAATTAATACAGGGGTCAAATTGTTTTAAACGCAGAGTAAATAACAGTGGCAGAGTTAGAGAGTGGCCACGAGCTAGGGGCAATCGCCTCTATCAAACTCATTAGATATTTGTGTGATACTACATTCAGACATAAAAGAAAGGTAAAATAATCTAAACTCTCTTATTTCATCCTTATTATTCTTCATGTATGAGGAAAATTTGAAAAAAAATTCGAATTTGACTATGTATCGATCTACTACTTTATTGTCCCGCGTAATAAGTTTAAATTCCTTCCCCCCCCCTCTCACAAAATTTACTGGCTCCGCTGTTCTAAATAAGTTAACACCATAAAAAAATTAAGGACCATTTTTGATTGGTGTCAAACTTGTTTTAACCCTATCTTTTCAACTTGTATGATAATTAGTCTCTCGTACTTGCTTCAAAACCTTCGAGCTGCTTCTTTAAATTTCTTTTATGTTACAATTGAAGAAAGTTGTTTTAACATTGATCCAATAATGAAGCTCTAAATTAAAATGAACCGCGATACTATAATAATTCTAAATGAATCGTTTAAAGAAATAAGAGAAAATGTCTTTGTCAAATCAATAGCTTTTATTGAGTAAAATCCTTAGTCACCAATCCAGGGATGAAACACTCAATTCTTACTTTGAATCCATTTTTACCTTCTGTGAATAACCAATTCAACCTAAAAGCTTAAGAGGTGAGGAACTCTTTAATTGTTTATATTATACTCTAACATGCCCTCTCACACGAGAGTCCATTGGGCTTGAAGGTAGATTATGCACAGGTCCACCTACTTGTGCTAAGAAAATTCCACAAGAGAAAGTGGGGGACGGTAAGAATCGGACACAAGGCTCTGATACCATATAAAGAACCAATTCAACCCAAAAGCTTAAGCTGTTAGATGAGGATCTCTTTAATTGTTTATATTATACTCTAACACCTTGTGCACCCATTTACACAGCTAAAAGCTTTTGAGTTCTAAAAAAAGTTCAATAATAATATACTACTTTTACGAATTTAAGTATAGAAAATAGGCTGTGTAACAAAAATGAATAATTATCTGGAATCATTGGTTATTCATTTTATAAAAATGAATAAATAATTTGTGGTAAACTGCTGGAAATATACCATAGGAAATTTGTGATTGGCTGGTTGAAAAGTAAAACTTCATCATGTATTCAATTAACAAAAGGAATGATTAATACCATATGGCAATGAAATGGTAGTGGCTGGTCGAATGTGTAGAAACGCTGCATTAGAGGGAAGAAACATTATTTCCTAACTTCCCTTCTAAAAGACCACTACTGCAAAGGAACATATTATTTATAATTAAATGCTTCTCTTTTTCTTTTATTTTTTATCATTTTAATTTCTTAACTAGTATGCACTCATTAGTAAATTCATAAGCTGAAACAAAAACAAAAAATACTATATGAGTTAAACGTGAAATTTATTTAATATTTTCTTTCTTGAATAACTAAGAGAATTATTATGAAAATTGATTGGGGGGATGAATTATTAATTTTTGTAAGCCCTGTTATTGTGGCAAAGTGAATGGCCTCTTCTACCCACCTGTTTGATGCCAATTTATGACGCCTACTTTCCTCGCTGGATGTAGTGATTGATTCAATTAGTTTGCCATCTGAAACACCCGATCTTAATGTTTCTGATTTTATGTGTCCCTATACTACGACAAAAGCTAAAAGAGGCCCAAAAAAGAAAATGATTTATGCTGTCATTTTTGGATCAAATAACACAAAATAACTCTACACATGAAATATGAATACATCCCAAAATAGTGAAAGTACAAGTATCTTACGAATATTTTAAGAGACTGATTTTGATATTTACTACAAAAATATTTTACATGGTGTGTTAAATTTCTTTCACATTTCGACAAGAAGAAAATATCTTACAACCAAATATTCAACTATACCATTTTTTTGCTAAAATATCCTCATATTTTTTTTTATTTTATATTTTAATTTTGATTCATTATAATTTATTATTCAATCATAGATAGTCATATTGTTTTTAAAAAAATTGACTTTGATAACAATTTTTTAAAAATTCAAACGTTTTCAATGATAAAGTAACATAATTGAATGATAATATTAAAATCAGAATTTATTCTTCTAATTTTTTTCCAAATAATAATAGACACACTCGTACACACATCAATTCATCTTTTCACAATTTTTATCCATTTTTTTTCTTATTTCTTCAATGGTTCATCCATTATCCAATTAATTGAGCTAGGTTAAATTCATATTGAGCAATTTTTATCACCTGATTACCGTTAAACCTATATTATATTAAAATTATATCGAATAAATAGACATCGATATATAAGTACTGTATAATTAATATTTTTTAAGTCATTAGAATTGGTGTCATGATAAGAGATTTGTGTAATTTGTATTAGGTTATGTGTTCAATTCTCACTTTTATCTAAATTTTTTTTTTCTTAATGAATGCGTCAATGCATGAATATGAATAAAAGAGTTACTTGGGAGAAAAAAATAAAAAGCAACTACACAAAGCTCACAAACAAATTTATTTAATTTTTTTTTTTTAAAAAAAAAACTTTTGTGTTCTTCAATAGTTCAACCTAAACAAATGGCCATGTAAATTTGTGGGGGTCCTGTTGAGGCAAAATCATGCAGAACTTAATGAAAAATCAGAATGGTCATAAATGAAGGTCACATGACAGAATGGTGAATCAGCTGCGCTATGCTTCTTCAAGTTAACGCTGTCCTGTGATTTTCCAAAGTGGGTACTCAAGTTTGAATACTGCACTGGCACCCTCATAACTCCCTATTTCATCAATATGGAAATCTCATAGTGACCTCTCCTGCATTACAGCCAGCCCTGTCTAGCACCATTATAGAAATAAGATTTCAGCGGTGTGTGGAGCCCCAACAGATTTAATACCCCAATTTTATTTTTATAACAAAATATAAATTTTTAATATTATTTATGCTCTTATTCTAACCTGAGAGTTAATTTTGAAGATAATAGTATGAAAACCCGTTTGGGATAGAGTAAGTAGACAAGCCCTTAAAAATAAATGTCCATTTTGATATCTCTAATATTTTTCGGTGACAGTATCTTTTTTCTGGAATAAGCGAAAATTTAACAATTTAGTATAATTACTACTATTATATCTCTTTAAGAATGTGAAATGCAATTGCTAATCCAGTTTTCAGAGAGCTTGTGTATAATAATTTGGCCTAGAATGACATCTAAAGACAGCATGAGGGGTTCAAATATACCATATTTCATAAGAAAATAGAAGAAAAAAAAATTAAAGATGCTTTAAACCCAACATTAGTGATTTAAGGGCAAATGAGCTTGTAGCACAATTGACATCGGCCCAAGTATTTGAAGCTTAAGTCAGATGTTATGTTTGAGACTTGATCCTCCAAGCCCCCCTTCATTAGACTAATAGTAGACAGACAGAACATGTACAATGCATCCATTCTGAAGTACAACTTTTCCAAAGTTAAACCCCTTCATTCTAAGCAGAAGTTTAACAATTCAAAATTTTCACACGCATCAAGAATATGCCCTTTAATGAAGAGGGACTCACTTTCTGAATTAGCACCATGAACCACCTAAACAGGTCAATGGGAGCCTGATCAGGCAACAAGAAACTTAGACTTTATGATTTGATCAAAAATTCATAATATAGAACTACTGAATAGAAGTTAATGCACACATAAACAGCAACTAAAGGAAAAAGGTATCAATACTAGTTTCTATGCTATTCATGATAATAGTTCTAAGCAAGCATACTCTAAGAAACAAGCAAGCTGTACAAAAACATATTTATGTAAGTTCAGCATTGAATTTTTTGCCCATTTTATAAATATGACTGCTTATATACTTTATAAGTCAAATTGCAAAAAAAGACAACTATACTTTTCAAGTCTTCAACAATATTAGTCCTCAATGTACAGAGTTCAGAATTCCATGTTGTGTCAAAATGATGCCTTTGAATGGAATTACAAATCAAGGAAATGCTCACCATATTGAGGATTTCAATATCTAGAAAGTATTCAATTAATAAAAGAAGCGCCACACTGCAATTGCCATTCCATGCAATCTTCAAAATCAAAACTGCTTACACAACCCAGTAACGCATTTTGTTGTTGTTCATAACGACATATGTAATTCAATCCTATAAGAAGCTCACATATAGCGTCCTCTGTCTTTTCCTTATCAGCAAAGTATAATGTCTGAAGTAGTAGCACATATGTCCTGCTAACAATTTGATGTTGCTCAAAATTCCTCTCGCTTTGCCATCTGATCATATTATGGGCAAGTGGAGCAAGCCACCTAAGTATCCCATCAAGAGTCACCTTCCAGTCGTGGGCAAGAGGGGCATCATAAATGGCCAAGTTCTTGACATAGGTCATAAGTTTGGCCTTAAGAGATAACCTTAAGCTTGTTGGTAGCATCTGATATAGATGATCCCTAGCTTCCTCACCAACTAAATGTGGATAGTTAAGCAGTTTCTCTATGACAATTATGACATTGGCATAGTGCAATGCTAGAGCACAGCCTCCAAGGGTAGAAGGAGGAGCATAAACAGCTAATCTACTCTTAGGACCCAAGGTTGAGCAACTTTGAACACTGGATTTGACTTGTTTTAGATCTCCGGTGAAAGGAATACCATTTTGAGCACAATATAGACCACCAGAATGGCACAAGAGCTCCCTTTTCTTGACATTATTCCCAATCCCAATACTGTGACAGCTTGATAAGTGACTGTATTGGTCCTCATGATCAATAACATAATCATCATCATCATCAAATTTTGAAACTGAACTGCTTAAACTTAGACACTCCATGAAAAGTCTCCCCGGACTTGTTCCACATGGAAAAACAAAATCTTCAAGTTGAAGATATGCTAACTCACCTCTCCTCATATCAATACGAGGCCTACTAATGGTTCCCCTTCTCTCCACAGTGGTTCTCCCAATTGAATCCAAATGACAACCATTTCTATTGCTATGAATGCGTTTCAACTTCTCCGAACTCATCTGAACATTAATCTGGCCAGACACCAACCCACAGTCGTGTTGCATGGGTGATGAACCTCCACCAAGCCCAAGGCTATTCTTCCTCACTGTAGAATCACCAAAGATCACAGAGATCCTGGCGTAAATGGTACAAACTGTCCTGGCCAACAACTCAACAACCTTATCAAAGGTCTGATTCCAAAGCGAAATCTCCTTCAGATGCCTCACATCTTGCTTTTGCCATGTGAGTTTCTGCTCAAACGCCCTCCTACTCTCTTCATGCTGATTATGCTGAAACTTCTTCACTGCTTGCTCCAATTCATTCAAGACCTCCATTTCACTGTACAAATTCCTGGTGGCACTAACATACCTATCCATTTTCTTCACCATTCCTTCCATATGCTTAACTAAGAACCCCAATTCCTTCACATCTATAACCCCACTAACCATGTCCCCATACACATGCTCAAAACCCTGCAAGGCAGGCACAGAGCACTTCTTCCCCAACCTAGAAACCACACTAGCAACACGATTCAACTCCTCAAGCTTCTCTGCCAAAGCCAGCTCGAGAAGATAAGCCTCTTCAGATGAAACCAATTTTTTAACACCCTCTGAGTTCAAGATCTCATTCCTGAGCTTTGCGATCTCAGACTCTGACAAGGACTTGTGAAGGTGAACGGTTTTGGACATTACATTTGCTACCTCAAAAGAAAGAATCCCTATAATTACTTTGCTATCTTGCATTTTGGGATTCTGTTTTCTCTTTGCAGAAGGTTCAAGAAGAAGGGCTTGCTTGAGATTGGCACTTACCTGGTTACCTATCTTTACAATCCAAGCTTCAGCAACCATAGCTACCACTTTCACCAAATCCCCTTCAAATCCGCAGCAGATTCAAAAGGGTTACCAAAAAACCCAAAGGTGTAAGCTTTGGAAAAACCAGAACTCAGCTATGAAAACCCATGAAGGTGAACCACCAGAAAAGGCTTTATGGGAGAAATCACACGATAAGACCCATTGAGCAAGACAAGAAGAAAAGCCCAATAGCTAGTGAAAGCTGCAAACTTTCATACTAAACTACGCATTTTGGGGATGAAATTGTTTTGGGGTGCAACAAGAAAGGAAAGAGATAGTGTAGAAGTCAGAAAATGGTGGCAAGCAACAGTTTGTGGAGGAGTGTGAAAAAGGAGGATGGGTGTTATTGAATATAAACAGCAATGACAACACACACAGTGGAGGGGAAAGAAAGAACTAAAAAAACAAAAGCTGTTACCTGGGATTATGGGGTAGGGGAAAAGGACCAAAGGGAGAGGGTGATTGCGTTGCAGTTTCAGAGTTGTTTTCAAAAAAAGTGGATCAGACTTCAGAATATTGAAAAGTGGACTCAGCACAGACTAAAACCCTTTTGAATTTTTTTTGTTTGCGTCTGCAACTACACCATTAATTGTCAGAACAACCATAATAATACCTTCTTCTTCTTTTTTTACAAAAAAAATAAAATAAAATAAAATGGCAAGAGGATTATAATAATGCATTTAAAAAAATTCACATATTACCTCAATAATCAGTTGAGTTCTGCAGAGGTGAGGAGTTAGCCCCGTCATGTGTTTCAATCTTGTCAAACTTAGAAAGCATTTTTTATGCTCCCCAACATCGTTGATTCTGGTGGTTCCTTTGTGAAAATGGTGAGGATAAAAAGGAAAAGAGGGGAAATAGCAATAAATAAATTATTCTTGAATTTTGAATTCTCTTGGATCTTCAAAAATATTTCCGTCAAACTTGTAGCGAGTTCAGTCTGGCTATTACTCCCGCGAGTTTACTTGAATCATAGCAGAGCAGGTCGTTTATTCCAAAAAAATTTATCTTTCTCATTTTTTATTTTTTTTTTTGGTAAGCTTATCTTTCTCATTTTATATAAATGTTAATGAATATCATGAATAATAATTATTATGTAATATTAAAATTATAAATAATGTAATTATTATTATTATTATTTTAAATTTTAATATTAAATTCATTTAATTAAATACTAATTAATATTGTAACTAATTCTCAAAGGAACTTTTTGAAATCCTTACAAAATTAAAAATATTCGTTTTATTATAGTTAATTATGATTTAATTATTCATTTCATTTTTCATTTAAGAATTAAATATTTTATGGTATTTAGTAATAATTCGATTTTTTGTAATTATTATCATATTTTACTAATACTTGTAACATTCAAATAATTATGTAATATATAGCACTTATTCAATTTAAATGATATTAAATATTTAAACTTTTTCGATAAAAATAAATCAACAATTAAATTATAATCATTTGAAATAAATTTATCTTTTTGAATCTGCAGGAATTCTGAAAGATCACATTAGACAAATAAAAATCAGACTTTTGGATTAATAAGTACTATTCAAGGATTTAAATAATAATTGAAAAAATATTAATATAATTTAAAGTCTTAAACTAAACTTTTATTACATTTAAATATTTATTAACATTAATTTTCTTTTCATAAATAGTCCTTCAAATAATTCATTGTGTCTCTTATTGATGATTAAATATTGTTTATTATTTATTTTATTTTATTTTATTTTATTTTATTTTATTTTATTGTTAGTTGGGTGCAACTCTTTCTGCTTACGAATAATTCCTAAGCACTTGGCTAAGTATTGAATCGAGTATTTAATATTAGGTAAAAAGTTATAATTATTAGTCAATAATTCTTTTTATTTACCTTTACCTGCCCAATACCTTGGCAGTTGGCAGGTTGTTGGCTTTATTAACAATTGTTTCCTTTTATATGTAAGTATTTTCTAATTAATAATGATAACAAAAAATATATATTGGGTTTACAAAGTGTACACATATAATTAAAAATATATATAATAAATTTTTTGAAATAAGTTATTTTTGCATAACAAAACTTGAATTAATAATTCAATAAGGTAAATAAATATTTTAAATTTAATGTTCAAATAGTTAAATATAAGTAGTAAAAAGCTTGAATTATTAAATAGATAAACTAATAAAATTTGTTTTAAGTAACTAAAGTTTTAAATAAACAAAATATTAAATAATTAAAAGTATGAATAAATAAGTATGTGTAAATAACCCCACACCGTACTTTCATCTTAGAAGTTTCTAAAAATTTATTAATTACATTAGTGTATTAGTTGTATGACTTGTATGAATTTTTGTATGACTTGTATGAATTTCAAACGTTGAGCTGTATTTCATTTTTTTAAATTTGGCAACAATAACCCTAAAATTTTCATATAGGACTAGTCTCATTCCCCAAACCCCAGGGAAATGGGAACTGAAAATAATCAATGTTTAGAAAAAGTGACTTTGACTAATGAAAATTTTGACTTCGCCCAACATGTGCTAATGCTACATTTCTTTGGTCCTTTTAAATCCAACCGTACAGACAATACATTCAAATTGGATTGGTTGTGGCTAAGTCTATGCACTTCTATCATACAACCAAATTTGGTGTTCTAAAACAACTACCGCACTTGCAACAATTTCGTGCACAAAACAAGCAGCCAACATTGCGAAATTAAACATTTGGTGTATTAGGAACTTTATTCTCAATGTGAGAAAACTTCCAACAATAAAAGACTAGTTACAAAACCACGAATATTTGTTAGTATATAGTATATACCTTTTGGTTGGTTTGGAACAAATGTGTTGCAGGTTGATATAATACTTGCCGTATAAGACCTTTGGAGTGGTTTTGACATGGAGAGAATAATGTTTACCCCGACTAAATAAATATTTTGAATTGGGAAAAGATGGATGGAGAAAAATTCGTCAAAAGTTAACCATAGTGGGAGTTGTTGGTTTTGTGTATTAATATTTCTGAATTAGTATGACCGCTCAATCTCATCATATTATTTTTTTTTTAAATGTTAATTTATTTTTTCAAAGATCTAAATATTTTATATAACTTAGGAACTAATTTAATAACACGATTTTTGGAAAATTAATAAGATAATAGATACTAATTTAAATATATTTTTCTTATTTTGGAAAACGGCTTATTTGACCAAATTCATTTTGTATTCGCCTGTCTTTATAAAGATCAAGCAAATGTTTACAAAAAAAAAATGATCAAGCAAATAGTGACAAAAAGAAAGTTGGAACTAATACATCCAGAGGCTTTACCTGAGTCACCTGTAAATTGCATTTAATGTACGTTAAGCAACAATATATATAGGAGAGTAACGCATAACAATTAACTGAGTTATATAACATAACCTTTTTTCCACTAATTGATAATTACACACATAATTTTGTATTGTATTTTTTTATACAGTATTTGATATGTATTAATATTAAACAAAAATAATGCAAAATTTACTACATTATATTTTGTGTTGTGTATTACTTGTTTCGCACTAGAATATTTTGATATATGATGAGCCGGTTGTTGTGTAAAATTAATGCTATTTATTATGATAAATTAACGTGTAATTTCAAGGAAAAAGTATTGGACGTTCGTAATAGTAAAAGATGCAACAACAGTAATTAAAAGGAAAGTAAATCATTTCATGTGTTAATTAATATGATCATATCATAATGAGGAATAATGATCATACAAAAGATTATCAATATTCAACAGTGATAGAGGAAAAGAAAGAAAAAATATAAAGATAAGTAATTAAAAAATTATCACTGTTAATTTTCTTTTGTAGGGTTAAGATTTTCCTATATTATATGCTCATGCTAATTAAAACATGAATAGAGACTGAGATATGCTTGGACTGTCTTTATGGGTTGGTGTGCTACATTTACCTAACGTTTTAGGAGTATGTAATAACTTTTTAAGTGGTTTTTTCTCTGCTTTAGTCTTTAGAGGTTTGAAAATTGATACCACATATGTAGCAACATCAGTAATAGAATTAATTGGCGATTAGGACCAAAACAATGTAACTATACTTTGATATCAAATTGATTAAAAATAATAACACGACTTGATTTTGTAGAATTGATTTGTATGCTGGTCTAAAGAATTGATAGGAAGAAAATAAAAGAGAAAGGTATATATACTAAGCTATAAAAGTCTGGACCATTTTCTTTAGTTTATCAAAGAAAAACAAAAGAACAAGATATACATGGACCATTTGTAATATATGCAGCCTGCAGTTCCTTTTTCTTTTATTTTTTGGCCTCCAATCCTATTATAACTCTTCCTTTAATTTAATACTTCTGGTACTTGCTTGACAAAGATTAAGTGCCTAAAGTGCAGTGAGTCATGCTGGCCGCACTAGTCCTCTCATCATCCGTCCTGCGTTTGAGTCATTAACATCGCTGATTGGAGATTGGAGATTGGAGAAATTCTTATGCTTTATTAACAGCAAAAATCTTTAACTATGTGCTTGTTATTATTTTTATCGTTAGGTATATTTTTAATATTATAATTAACATGTTATGCATTAAAAAATGCAGGATTAATTATACATCTATATTTTTAAAGATGCTTAAGTTATATTGTGCTCTCCTTTATTTTTTATTTTTAAAATTATACTCTCTCTCGTTTTGAGATATTAATGATTTAAGTAGTTTTTGTCTCTTTGTCATTCTTAACATGAAAAAGTATACGTCATTTTAAATGACACAAATTTAAGTCATTTTAAGAGAGATAGATATAAAGAGGTGTGAAATCTACTAAAAAAAATAAGATAAAAAAATTAAAATATGAATCTCACCTCTTTGTATCTCTCTCTTCCTTAAAATAACCTAAACCTGTATCCTTTAAAAACATATATATTTTTTCCTTCTTAATATTATCGGTGATCCACTATTGTCGAGTTTCAGACTTTAGAAAACGAAATGAAAATTTAGAG